CCATGAAGTCGACCGGGTGAGTCTGAGCAGCCGTCAAATGGCGGCTTGGATACAGTCGTGCTGCTTGGAGTGTTGGTGTCCGATTAACTGTTATCAGTTTGAAAACGAATTTGTAAATAAAATGTGACTTAGGAAAAATATGAAAACTTTGAACCACTCTGCATGATGACGATTTTTTTCCCATAATTCGGATAAGTATGTAAAGCATTCGGATCAAAGCGGATGACGTTTAGATTTGTCAATTACATGTTGTGTTCCCATGCTTGTCATTGGGCATGCATTTGGGAACCGTAACGCCGTTGAACAGGTCGATTGACCAAATGTTTTCCCCTTATTTCGCAGCATTTCTCGGATATTATCGAGGACCAGTTCGACTTCAACACCTACTGCCTTCGACGGATGACAATCCGGTCCTACGTGGGTTTGCTCAGGTACGTGTCTGCCGAGGTGTTGACAAAGCTTTACCTATTCTCGAAAGCGAAAATATTTTCCAGGATAAACTTATTCTCATCTCAAGTTAGATTTAAACATTATGTGAACAGAGCGCTGACAGTGTATAGTTAATGCATTGGTCTGACTGTTTGTGGTCTCCCCTGTCAGGCTGGAGGACATTCTCCGTCGCCATCCGTTCTACTACAAGGCGGCGCAGTGTGCCATCGAGGTGTACCTGTTGCTACACGACAAGCCGCCCGTGCTCGACAGCGAGGAACAGACGCTCAACACAGGTCAGTCACCGGGGCGGGGCAGGGGTCCGGTGGTGGCGGTCTGAGCCACGTCACAACGCGGCAGGTGTGCACTGCAGCGCAGGTATTCCAGTTTCACTGTGTGTGGACGGCATGTACCGACCTTGCTTATGAATGTAATCCGGACGCTGACGAAAATAACCCCAAGTACCGATGTAGTCGAAAACATTACGCTCTGATCACTGGCGGATCAAGAAAGGCGGTCTTGGATGCTGCGGGAGGCATACCCCCAAAAAATCCAAAAAAAAAAAAAAACTGATCAAATTTCGATTCGTTACCTACATGCAGTTTAACGTTAATTTTTCCTTATTGAATGTTTCGTTTTCGTTTTATTCTCGAAAACGCATTTTTTCATCGATCTCGGGCGCTGCGGTGGGGGGAGGCATTTTCCCCAAATGCCCCCTTTTCCCTGAATCCGCCAGTGGCTCTGCTGCTCTGACCGATTCAAGGATCGCTGGGCTCCTCAAGTATGACGGTACTACCCATGGAATGAAGGCCTTTCGTCGCTCCCATTTTGTTCGTAGAAAATAACTGCGAACGAACTCAGTCCCACTTAGCATGGATAATTCGGCTCGTCACCTTTGCCCTAGCAGACGGCTCGGGATGTTCAACGCTATTTGTTCCATTGTTATAATTTACAACGCTATTTGTTCCATTGTTATCAGCTACAGGTTAACGGTACAAGTTTCCGATACTTGGAACTGCAGTCACGCCCCAGTATCGTATGCACGAGACCGTCTGCCAGTTACCGTCCAACTAGCGTGCGGTCGTCCTGGAACCCAAACAATCCCCCTGTCTTCGTTTGTCTAGGAAATATACCGTTTCTCTCGCCCCATGCTCATAGCTCTGAAAGTTTGGTGAGAGATCGCTTTCAGCGGTGTCGCTACAATATGCCAGTGGTCTGTACTCTGTGGGAGAAGTCGCTGTGGTTTTGTCACGTCGCCTTTCGTTTCTGCTGACGGCTCGATGGTAGTTGTGGATTGGAACAGTTCACACAATCGGCCATCGATGGCTGAAAATCCGCTGTTACTTCCCATGTTCCGTTATTTATGGATCTCTGAATGGGCTCGACGCAAAACATGCGGATGCTTTCAAAGGTTTTGCGGACAATGCCTGCGTTTTCTACAGTTTAAACTTTCTAGCCCTACCACTTTTTTCCTCAAAATTGTGAAAATTTGTTAAGGTCGGGCGCTAGTTATCGACTGATCATAAGCCAGAACACGTTACTACCGTTACGAAGAAGGCCCAATGCTTAAAGTCTGTCTACCGCAATTTCATCATTGTTGCTCTGACAGAGACTGTGATAAGTTAGAGGTTGCATAAGTCGCATCTACTGTCGCAAATGATCATACAGGTTCGTAAGGGAGGCTGTCAAAATAAAACAGGCGAGAGTTCACGACGGCACGGTAGCGGGCCACACTAGCGCTATTCACCCTCCCCAAGCACAGGACAAAATCGACAAGCCTACCGGTTACTTCGTCATAGCGAAGGGTGTTGGTGGTTTCCAACAAGATTACTTTACTAATAGGTTCCAATGGGGATGGGGCGCCGATGTTCCGCTGGTCTTGCCCGGTGCCTTATGGCCACCTGCCGAGATATTCACCCCCTCTGCCGGTCGGCTCCACCCGCCTTCCCAGCGGCCGCTGCCCACCAGACGAATGCCGTGAGTGACGGCAGCTGGGCGCTCGGTCGAGGGGCGTCGGTGGCGCCGGCCCACCGCTGGCCTGTTGTGAAAGGTCTCGGACGGACCGGTGCAACAGAGACGCCGGTGCCAGCGGGTCAGCGCAGGCCCCGTGTGCTCGGTAGGAGAGGGACAGACGGAGCTACGCGCCCTGCATACTCGGCACGGTCGGGACGGGAGGTGGCGGGATGGAGGGATGGAGCGTGGTGTTGGCTCTGCGGTCTTTTTTCGAGACGTTTCGCCAGACGGGTGTGGATTCGAACCTGGCTGAAGTAATGAAGATTTACAGTCTAATTTTTAATCTCATCCGAAAAAAGATTCAAGCAAAAATTAAAAGTCAGATTATTGTATCAAGATCATTATTTCAACCACAAAATCATTGAGTCTCAACAGCCTGATATAGACATTCTAAGTGGATGAAATTATACCGAAGGCACATTGTCTAAAGGGGAGGGGAATGAGTTTTTTTGGGGGGATCGGGACTCAATATACCCTGGATTGGGGCATGCGACGGGGGCGAACGTGCCAGTACGGTTGGCGCCATTGTCAGATGGGATGGAGCCGAGCGACCGGATCCACGCTCTCTGGGGTGTATCTCCGGCGATTAGTGGGAGAGACCATTCACCGCACAATGCTCGGACGACTGCCAACCTGATGTGCTATACGGTGCTCGATCTCAGTCGACTCGGCTGCCAGTTTGGGCGCTCATCTGTGCAATGTAGCGTGTGAGCTGTGATGTAACGTGTGTGATGGTCGGCCCGCGGGCGGCGGCCGGCGCTGTATCTGTCGCTATTTCCTTAGCTCCCGGGCCGGGGAGGGGTGTTGCGCTACTGACTGGCTGGCCTGGGGTCACCGCGTGCCAAGAAGGGAGAAGGAGAGAGGCGCTCTGTGCAGCGCGGCGCCGCCGGTTGCCTCACAGACGGCCGGCAAACGCGGCGCCGGCTCGCGCGCGCATCACCGGAGCGCGCGCGTTGCTTCATGAGAGCCGGCCGCACCGCCCTCCCTGGGCTGTGACGTCACCGGGTGTGGGACACGCCCCGTCGCCGCTCTCTGTTCCTGGAGTGAACCCGGACGGCTGCGGCACACACCCGGAGATTGGGCTGACCGCGGTCTAATCGACTCTGGTCACGGCCGGGTGTCGGCAGCCGCGACCGACCTGAACGGAGGGCAGTGGAGGCGCTGGGGTCAGCTGCCAGAGCCAGCACGTGGTAAGGGCTGCCAGTTAATGAGTTGTGCGAGACTAAGCTGCAGTTACTTGTCTTGCAGCTGGGACAAAAGAAATTGCAACACCTGTATTTCTGAGGGTTGCAGCCACACCTATGACGTTGATGTTCCTGCCCTTTACGAACAAGTATTGTCTCTATTGTCAGTTTGCCGAGGTCTTCCCAAAACGGGGTGCCCTTTAAAAGAAAAAGATCCCGTCTGGCTTTCGACTGTGCAAAGTGCAGTGCACAATGCATATGATTATCCGTGCAAATCACCGTTCACACTGAATTTGAACACCTCGAAGAGTACTAAAGATGTGCCTGGTTTGGTGTCTATAAGGTAAAGCTTCTCAGCATTGTATTCCTTATAAAAGAACTGGGACTGCCACAGTAGTAGGTAGGTGCTGATCGTTTTTTTTTTTTTTTTTTTTAATTCGCGATGTCCTGGTAAATGGCTCCATTGTGCGGCGCTCACAGCTCTGTCTGGTCTTACCAAACTGTCAATTGGACTCAAACAGCGGTGGCTGGCGCTCGTCATTTTGCCCAATCAACTGGTTGACTTTGCGAAAGGCACCAGTACACTGACCATGGACTTGGCGCGCGAGAATGAAGCCGACCTGACCAGGCCCGCCGGCCACGCGCGGGGAGGGGAACAGCTGGTCATACCTGGAGGTGTCAGCGAGGCAACCCCATTCTTGGAGTGTCGGGTCATGTTTGGTTGGAGGTCTGGATTTGTGCGGTGCGCCGGCCCGTGACCAAATAGTGGGGGTGGCGTTTAATCGTACGATGAGGTTAAGGTCTCTGAAGGGACGGCGAGGCGGAGGTCTCGAATCGGACCATGGGGTGAAGGTCTCTAGCCGGCGCGGTGAAACAGAAGTCTGGTAAACGGACGGCCTGTGACTGGAAGCTCTATCCTCACGGTACGATTTCTAAACGGACTGTGTATAACCGGACGAGCGAAAACCGGAGTGTCCGGAAGGCCTAAAACCGGACAGTGTGAAAGGTGCTAAAATAAGCGCAGTATGAAGTATACGTGCCGCTCACACGTAATATGTGTGGTGCAGGACCGGCGCTCTACTCAGGTTTTGGCGTTATCTCGGCTGGAAACCTGTCTCGAATATAGCGTCCAGAGTCGAGTGCGGTCGGAGTCCGGTGCTTTTACCAGCGCTCCGACCTTATCCCTACTAGTGTGATTGATGGCCTTGTCCCGTCCCGTCCCACCGTCTGATTCGGCCGCAGATGAGCGATTCATTACGTCATCATGAGTTCATCGGCTGCGCCTGATCGATATCTCACCAGCCACAGTGCGTTACCACTAATGACTGAACTATGATATGATTCATGCCATCCGTCACACCAAGACACGCTTGATCGTCTATGAGTGGACTGTATTTGCAATTGTACACGACTAATGAACACGATGGATGTATGTACACGGCGGCGACATATGTACAATGAATAACAACAGCGCGGACGGCAATAACAATAACAATGTCGGCCGGCGGGCGGCGAGCGGCCGCTGGCTGCCCGGCCGGCCGGCACGTGACACAGCCTCGGGAACGGCTCGTCGGCCGGTGGTGGGGCCGGTGGCCGCTCAGCGCGCCCTGCCGTCCGTCTTGTACGAGTAGCTGTATCCGCCGTCGTGGTTGGTGTAGGTCATGTAGTTGCCGCTGGCGCCGAACACACTGCTGGAGGCCGGCGCGCCGAACGCCGCCGCTGCCGGCTGAGGCGCCACGGCCGCCGCTGGTGCCGGGTAGCTGTTGCTGGTACTGAAGGACCGCGGCAGGCCGTCCAGATTGTGGATGAGGCCGCCGGTCGGCTGTGCACCCGGGAAGGCGCGGCCCTTGACGTAGGTGATCTGCTGGTGCGTGTGCCGCGGCACGGCTCCGGCGGCGGCGGGCGCGGGCAGGCGGCGCGGCTCGGGCGCCGACCGGCCGGCGCCGTACGGGTCGTAACCGAACTCGGGAATGAAGGCCTCCGGCTGGCGCTGGTGAACTCCGGTCGGCGGTGCAGCGCCCGGGATCACCACACCGTCGTCCGGCTTGAAGCCGGGCGGCGGGAACCGCGGCTGCCTGTACGGCGCCTGGTAGTCGTCGATGGGTGTCGTGTCGATGAAGCCCTCAGCCAGTTCGCCGCCCTTGAGCACGAGCAGGTCGTCGTCGAGCAGCCACACCTCGCTGGGGTGCAGGCCGTCCAGCTGGCTGTAGTCGTCGATATTGTTGGGCTCCGGCTCGTGCTCGCCGGGCGTCTCGCGGTAGTTGTTGTTGAAGAGGATTTCCTGAATGTTGTTGCCGATGGGCCGGAGGGTGACCAGTTTCTTCCCGGACTTGGGCCGGGGCGTGGTAGTGGTGGTGGCCAGCCGGTTGGTCTCGCTGCCGTCGCTGATTCTCCGGCCCTGGCGGGGATTCAGAGGACGGAACCCGCCGGTCTCGGGCCGCGGTGCCACGAAGTGGCTGTTCAGGGCGCCTCCGCGCGCCACGCTACCCGAGAGCTGCCCGTCGGAGAGGCTGGAGTGCCACAGGGCTCCCGTCTGGGGCCGGCCGCTGGCTACCGCTAGCAGCGCGGCCGTCACGCCGAGTAGACTCACTGGTAACATCTGCAACAGAGAGGGCACGGATTCGTTAGATGGCTGCTCACAACCGGGGCGGGTACAGACAGCGCCTCCCCCGCACACCTCGCGTGTTGTGGTTTTCCGTACAGCCGGCGACCCTGACAGTCGGAGTCGGTGTCTGTCGGGGTCACGGCTGGCCCCGGGGCGGGGGCCCGTGCGCCGGCGGGGCACGGCCCGTGCCGATCGGGCGCCGTTCGAGTCACGCTCGGCCGTCAAGGCTGCCGGCCGGCCGCCAGGGCCGTGCACCTTGACATGACGCTCGGCGGCCCCGACGGGCCGCTAACCGGTCCGGCCAGTGGCCGAGCGAACCCGCCTCCCCCTGCACGCCCACCGCCGGCGACCCAGCTTCGTGACCGGACCCCGGCAAACGCCCGAAAGTGCCTCAATCGGCGCTGCCCAAGGGAGCCCCTATTAGTACAGCAAAGAAGCGTCTCTTAGCACTGTTCAAAGATGATTATCTCATCATTACAGCTGCTTTGAGGCGTTCCATCGAACGCGGTCTACTCCCTCCGTGGGGCTTTCATTTGGGGCGACTCAGTAAAAACGTGCGTGAGGTGATACCTTACTATGAATAGAAACCGTCGCACTAGCCATGACCGCCCCGGCGCACCATTGTATGCACGCTCGGAAGGTCTCCCGCATACAGGGCCGCTCCGCGCAGCCACTGACCGTGACCACTCACCGTTCTATCTGGACTGATATCCAATCGTCTCGTGGACCGTCAACTGTCGACTGTCGCTATATCGCTCAGGTGTCGCAGACGACACGCGCAGGTCACCGTCGGCTCGGTACTAGCTGGCGGCCGGCGCGCTGCAGCTGTACTATATACGGAGGTGCTCGGCCGCTCGGGGGCGCCACGGTCGGACCGCCCTGCCGCCGCCGACCGGAGACGTGGGCAGCCACTGTGACGTCAGACCGCCGAGCTGTGACGTCATACTGCTGACGTCTGAGCGGGCTCCAGCCGACCGCAGCTCGGCGCACACCTGCTATTATGGATCGATGATGCGGCGAGGTCGAAACGGTTTCCCATCGGGCGTCTCGGGGATTTCCGTTCCGGGTGCTCTGTTCGCGACCGTAGCTTCACGCTCCTATTAGCTGATCGCACTGCGGCGTACGTGGTTTGTTTATAGATCTCCGAACGCATTTGCAAATGTAATTTATCGGTGTTTTGCTTGTCCAACAACGACGTCATGGCGAAGCCGCTTAAGGTGGCGGGCTGGCCACTTGCCAGTGGCCAATGGCCAACGAACATCATTCGGTATAGGTCTTGTCCGGTGCTGCTGGACGGTACGTCAAGGTATCCTGATTCCCGTGCCTGGTGACGACCGTCGGCATTGCTGTACAGTTTTGGGTTCCGCGAATGTGTCTTTGTCCAGTTTCGACTGTCGGCGCCGCTTCTGTCCGGTTTCTACTGCCGAGTTGTTTCGGTCCGGATTTGAGTGTCAGGGTTCGCTCTGGTTTACCCGTCGGGGGTCGTTTCGGCCATCCGTTTGGCTGTCGTGAGCGTTTCTGTTCAATGTGACTGTCGGGAGTGTTTATTTCCTGTCTGGTATAGCTGTCGTGGGCGTTTCTGTTCTGTTCGGCTGTGAGTGTGGTCTGTATTCGCTTTTGGATGCCGGGGTTGTTGCCACGAGCCTAAAGACTGACTGGGGTGAGGAGCCGACATGGCGCTATGCGCTCGAGCATTATATTTACCTTCTGTTTACCTTCTGCCGGTGCCATCAAGTTACAAGCCTTCTTGAGACTCCTCTGCTCGTTTTCAGGTGTACCTATTTTTATAACTTATCTGTTTCATCGATTTGCACCACTGTCTTCCACGAGTTCAAATCCGTTCACTCCATAAATCTAGTGACTTGTTTGTTAGAAGCCAACGGAGATTTGAAGTCGCAGTGTGTTGTGTTGTCTCAAGAACGCCTTCCATCGAAGAGGATTGGTAACTTTGTCGGCTTGCTTTCTACGCCGCTTACAGCTTTGTCATATCTGGATGATCGCGAGCTTGCCCTATTTTCCAATAGACTGGCAGGCTTGTTTACTGCTTTTCTGCAGTGACGAGCCTTTTTAGCAGCTGCTGATGGCTTTTTGTGGCGGCTTCTGGGAAAGTTATAGCTTGTTGTTCGTCTTACCGTCGAAATAGCAGTTGTAAGGCGTCAATATCAAAGGCATGTCGTAATGTCCAGAGGAATGCTTTTGCGCGGCATGCTGCCTGATGGTGTCTCTTGGTAGGCCCCGATTTGCGCAGTGCGCACTGCCATTTTCTCATTATAATGGTGATACTGGGATATCTCGTCTGGGACTGGAACATCTGGGACAAGGAACCCAGCAATGACGAAAATTGTGCTCAATAATCATTTCGAACAGAACGTAGGTCGACCGGTCTTTAGCTGTAAATTGTGCATTGCACTCGATTGGGATGGAATATCTCTCCTCTTTTTTTTCTGTCCAGTTATGTAATTGCCATGGCAACTGGTATTGTTCGTCAGAACTGCGTGCTGTAGTGCTGGAACCGATGCGTGGCTGTTCATTGTAATGCGTTGAGCATCACAGCACGCAGTGATGCTGAAGCCGGTGGGCGATTGTAATGCTCCGTCGATCGCCATGGTCTCGGTGAACATACCCGAGCGCGGCCGGCCGACCGGTCGCGGCGGTTCCTCGAAGCGCCGCCGTCGCCGGGCGGCTATTGAGCCGGAGATGAGCTGCAAACGTTCGGCGAACGGTGCGCGCCGCACTGGCGCCACACTGGCCCCCGGCGCTGGTGGTGAGATATGTGGCCTGTCCTGCCGCCTCGGTGAAACCCGTGACCTGTCCTGTGATACGGAGACCCATGAGTCGTCCAGTGTTCACAGTCAGATGTGTGGCTTCTTCTGGCGCCAGTCAGTATTGTGGCTTGGACGACTGCCATCGTCAGTTATGTAAGCAGTTTTCCCCTACAATTGGCCCCCAGCATCTCCTTCTGTTGTCATGGACATTCCTGTCACATATCGCCTGTCGCCTCGTTCAGTCATATGATTATCTTATCACCTTTTTGGTTTAGGGTTGTTTGTCCTGACCTGCCCTACAAGGCTGACCTTAACTCTGCTCTGCCGTTGTGAACAGCATTGTGGCCTCTTCTGCTGTCGTCGCGGTCCGACTCTGACCTGTCATGCCGCCACTGTCGAGTCATCAGACCTATCATGCCTCCACTGTTAGTCATTTGACCTGTGCCCAGTCCCGCCGCCCTGGTCAGTCCTGTGGCCCTGCTGTCCTGCGGTCTCGGTCAGTCCTTTGTCCTGTCCCGCCGCCTCTGTCTGTCATTTGACCTGTCATCAGTCCTGTCGCCTTGTCCACTGATACTCGTTTGTTCGGCTGCCCTGCCGTCACGGTCAGTCCGTTGACCTGTCCTGGCGTCACTGTCTGACCCTGCTCCCTTGTCCAGTCCGCTGTCCTGCGTGTGCGTGCCCCCCCCCCCCCCGCTGTCAGCCCTGCACCGGCTGCAGGATCAGACACCTAACGACCTTGTTTGGCGCCTGGCGCCCCTCCCGAGCTATGCGGACGTTTCGTCACTAGTCCTTCGGAGGACACCGCTCGGACCTAGGGTGAATGTCATCGACCTCAGTGTGGGTCGTTATAGAATGATGTAGTGTTACAGGCGGCTATCTCGGCAGTGAACTTACTTCTGCGGTACGTGCGAGATGTGTATCAATTTCATGTGGTGCGGTGGTATGTTATATTGAGAGGTGCCATTTTGACCCCGTTTTATGGCAGGTCAAGATCTTTATTGCGCTTGATCAGAGCCGGGCTAAGTTTAAGGTTGTGCCTACATTGCAGCTTGACGTTTTTGCAGACGAGTATTCCAACGCCTTTTGCCACTAATCGCTAAGCGACCAAGGAGGCCAGTTAGCGTGGGGAAGATTTAGACACCGCGGCACATGGTAGTTAGCGCATACCTGGGCTGCAGGCTGCGCCGCGACGTTCCTGGACGCTCGCCGTGGGCCCGTGGCGCCGTGTCCAGCGGTGCGGGGCCGCCGAGGAAGGCCGGCGACGGCTCAGCGCCGACCTTGCCGTGCCACACGGCGCACCGACGACGTCACCGTTTGACGTCACCGGAGCGGCCGTCGGCGGCCGGGCAGTTCCCAGCAGCCGCGCAGTATATGGGCAGAGCCTGCTCTGGCGACTTCGGGGTGCAGTTTCCGGCGCTCTGGCTGACCGGAAGGACTATATGGGAACGGGTTGAGGTCGGTCTCGACGGCCGGTCGGATCGAAGGCAGACAGCCCGCTGACAGGGTTCAGCCCCCGCCAACGGGCAGTGGATTTACAATGATTTATGTTTGTCCATTTACATTTATCCAAGCGCTACCTGGATGCCAGGTACCTGGAATTGGCTTATAAGCGCAATCACTCTTCTGATAGCAACGGTAGAACTGCGGGTGATACCCAGTGCCGACAATGGAAAAATACGGCATTTTTATGTTATGTTATTAGAAGTTTATCGGGCGATGTGAAAACATATGCCTATTGCCTAGTATGAGTTAAATCCATGGCAAGCTTAATGTGATACGAATATATTAGATAGCATTGTCGCTGATGCGGTAAGCTGCCAAAAGCTAGTGGCTAACGGGTAAATGAAAATAGCTAGGGTATTTTAGCCTCTAGAAACTCGGGCTTTTCAATGCCGAAACGAATAACCTCCACATATGAAACTTTTGACTACGCTGCTAAAACGCTTCTTGTCCATCTACTTCGGAACTTTTTTGGATTTTCAGTCAGATACTTTCAGTTATTTTGGAACGATTGACTGAGGCGGCAGGCTTAGACAGAACTTACGTGGAGGGACGGAACGATTTCAGTTAGAATACAAAATCATTGACTGGTTTTAACGGATCCATCGCCTCTTGGTTGCTAGGTTTCACAATTTCAGCTCATATTCTGTCCCTACTCCCTCTCCGCATTCCGTCTTCCTAGTCCTTGCAGGAGCCGCGATAACATCCCCGGCTGCCGCCTGCGCCGTGCTGGGGCCGTCTCCGGTGAGTTGTTGAACTGTATCCGCGGGGGTGCGCCTACAGGCTCGGTGGGTGACACGCCGGAGAGCAGAGTTAATGACGGCGCCGCGGCGGGTGGCCGGTCGGCCGGCGCCGCCGCGGACCGACCCGGAGGTGCACCAGGTCCGGGAGCAGCCGCCGGTGCGTGCTGCCGCCTCCCCCGGGCCGGCGCCGCCCGGCCGCGGCACAGCACATTCCACCGCCAAGGCCGATCGCCGCGTGGCAGGGCGCCAGTTCGCGCCCCGCCCCAACACCCAGATCGGGGAGCAGCGTTTTACTCATGGGCTCCCTTCTCGGGTCACCGTCATTACAGTGCTAGATGATTTCCCTACGCTTTTCACAAAGTTTTATGCGCGCTTATTACTTTTTAACGTGGTGAGAAGTGGCGTGTCCTCAGTCCATTTTGTTGCAGCTATTCCAACTGCTGCTTCTTGCCTAGTTATTGTAGTTAAGAAGTGTAATTCAGCTGGAATGGCTTTATTATAGCGGGCCAACTTACTTTACCTCATTAGAAGTTTACTCGTAGGGTTTGGTATACAAGTATGTTCTGTTAGGTACGAGGAAACAAGGTAGAAACAAGAGCGTAGCATTTGGTCAGAGCGTAGCATTTGGTCGCTGTTTGCGTCGATCTAAAAGCGGCTCGTGATGTCAACCTAATGAGCGGTTTGCACAATGCACGTTTGCACATAAACACAGCAATGAACCCTGAGAGGGTCAGCTGAGGCCACCTGACGTCAGCAAAGGTCACCGCCAGTTTTTGTCTAATAATGTTACGTAGAAACGGCCTCAGATCTATGCACGTTACCCGGACACAG